CCGAGCATCTTTGGTAGTGTGAATCCGTGCCAGGCCAGAGGCGTTGGCGCCGCTTCGACCCCCCCTCTTGCGAGTATCTGCAGAGCGCCTCCTGGAGAGCATTCCACGGGAGGGCAGGTGACAAGGCGTCCGTCTTGCAGCGGAAGGCCTCGGTGGAATCTGTGGGCATCCTTACAGACTTGAGGGGCGGGGCCTGGGTGTGCCAGCACGGCGACGAGGCGCGAGGGTGGGTGGGGCAGGGGGGGCCATGGAAAGCAATTAGGGGCCTGGTCACAGCGGGGGGCGTGCAAGGGGGCCAGGGCGCCGCATATTGTCCAGCTTAGCAGCTTAGGAGGGCGCAATGCCATGCATGCAGCAAGAGAGGTGCGTGACAAGTAGCGCAGCTATCGCATTGCCTTTGGCCCTGTCCAACTCCCCCCTCTTGCGCGCAGACACGGAACGAAGAGTTCCTGGCATTGCACTGGGGCACCCTCCTCGAGGGGTGCGAGCTCGCCTGGCTCGACGACAAGCAGCGCAAGAACAAGAGCGTCCAGGGCAGCGTCGCCAACGGGGTGCCGCACTCGAAGGCCTGCCTGTTTTGCCGCCACACTTGGCGCGGCGCCGCTCCTATGTTCCAGCCCTTCCTGGTGCGTTGCTTCAGTGGTGTTTGATTGGGCATGCTGCCGCGACGAATGCGACGTGGCTTTGGTATCGATAGGTGCAAACATGGCAATGTGCCCAATGCAATGCTCGTGCAACTTCCACGGCACGCTCCTTGTGTCCCGGGCAATGGGGGGGCCTGCATGCTGCGCGCCCTCTCTCCCACTCAACTCCCCCTGGCACCTAGACGTCGCCCGAATGTTTTCTCGCTTTGATGATTGCGCGCTCTCGCATCGTCCCGGGCACCTCGCTCCGTGGCCGTCCGCTTCCCTTTCCCCCCCTCTCTCTGCCTCTCTTCCTGGCGCGCGTCCCCCCCCCTGCGCGCGAGGTGTACAGCAGGAACCTGGCCGTCTACGTGTACGAGTTCCTCGTGGACTTCGGCAACGCGGTCAACTCGCAGGTCACGCAGACGACCTTGCTGGAGGAGAGCGGGGGCGGGGGGATGCTCTTCCATTCGTTTGGCAACTTGCTAGCAGGGCCACGCGTGCTGGACGAGGCAGATGAGCAGGTACAGATACGCGCATTAGGAGATGAGGGGGGGCAAGATGGAGAAGGAGAGGGGCATAGCTGATCGGCACCTGTAGGAGCCTCTTCCCCGCAGACCCTATGGGAGGTAGCCCCCCGAGAGGACATGGCCAGACTCCCATGAGGCACGCGGCAGCGGTGCAAACGTGGTTACACAGTGACTTTTTAGCAGCCCCTGGTCCCCCTCGGCCCCTCGGCCCTCGCCCACTCAAAACATCATGCGCGCGCCCCTCGCCTGGGTAAGGGTGCCCCGCTCAGCGGCCGCAGGCCTGGGCCCCACGCTCTCGCATTCTGTAAGAGGGGCCGCGGCAGGGCAGGGCAGGTACACCGATCCACCGTGGCAATCGACGCCGCCTGGATCAAGAAAAAGCGAGCGATGGGGTGGACAAATGCAAGCACGTCTCAATCAGAGAGGGACAAGAAGAAATTCGAGGTGGTGTGCGCATTCTATCCTGCCCGTTGGCCCGACTACAGATCGTACGAACTCACCAGCCTGGTGTACACGGAGGCGGGGGGATGCTGAACGTGCTGGGGTGGGTCGAAGCTAGCATGGAGGGGATGAAGAGAGAGGTGGTTACGGCAGAGGGGAGGCGGGTAGGCAAACAATATATTATTAGAGCTCGTGCCATGCAGGGCGGCACAAGAGCTGCGTGCAATATTGACGAGAGCGAACGGCGCGGGGAGGGCGAGGCGGTCATGAGGTGAGTGGGCATGGGGTGCGAGAGCACAGTGCGTATCAGTGCAGCGTGATTATGTTCAATATGAATGTGCCCGTCGATTCTGGTGCGCACGCGTCGGCTTCATGACGGGGCAACGGATAGGCTTTGCGACATGCGTGCACGTCACGTCCGTCTGTGCTTGCGTGCCTGACGGTGTCGCGAGCAATCGTGTAGCGCGGTGCGAGTGTGCAATAGTCAGCCATGTGCGTTCATTGGCTTGGGGCCGTTTGCGTGGAGCTCAAGTCACTCATGGTTTTTGCACTTCGTTTTCTCAGCATGGCCTCGACGCACCCCTATCGAGCAACTCGTGTGAATATCACGTAGCTCAGTCGGAGGTTCGTCCGCGTGACGCGCATAGTGCCCCCTTATGTGCACGGTGCCCTGCCAGCCCCCCTTGGCATGCCTGCCCGATTGCTGCACCTCCATGTACCAGGCCATGAAGCCCTGCAGCACGATCACGGAGGTGTCCCCGTGCAGCGCCTGGCAGAATGGAAAGACTTTCTGGGACATCTTGCAGGCGCGAGTGATGGGGGAGGTAGATCTTACGAACAGCGAGTGCACGCATTACGATAGGTACGCGCACGTGATCGCATCATCATTCAGGACGCCAGGGGGGGCCAAGCGCGCGAAGCGGTGTGGGCACGTGCCAGGCCAAATGTGGTGGCATTGGGGGGGGGGGGGGGGGGGGGGCTCGCCCTTTCCAATCTTACTTGCCTATTCTCACCCCCTCTACCCCGCCCGTGGCTTCGCCCTCTTTGATGCTGTCCTGTCCGTCCTTGGGGCCGCCAGGGTTCGTGGCGCAGGGGCCTTGGAATTGTAGACGCACTGAACTCCTCGGGCCATGCTCGCCGCCTGCTGGCCACCTCGTCTCGGGTGCGAAGCCGCTTGGCAGTATACCCAGCTTCTCGCGCATGTGCCTGGCGCCCCGCCAGGAAGCTGAAGGGCACCCCGCTCGCCCACTTCAGCGTCGACATTGCGTCGCTGTGGTTCCCCAGGGCTGGGGGCAAGGGCTGGGGAGCCTGCGCGTTGTTGCCAGACGGGCCCCCCGTCTTGTCGGCGAAACCCTCGGCGAAGCAGATCGACGATCTGCTGTGCGACATGTCCACCAGCAGGGTCATGAAGATGCTGGAAAAGGCGCGGCCAGGGGAGGGTGACAGGCAAGGGCCCTGAGAGATGTGAGAACGCAGTGCGGGTGTTTGCAGTTCCTCATGGGTGGGTGCGTGCGGCTTGCCATGTAGCATGTCAGTTTGCGTTGCGTTGCTGCAATGTCGTTTCCGCTTCCACTGCTGAGGACCTGTGTGTGAGCGGATGGGGGAGGTCCCTAGGCTTCGCTCGCATTTCCAGCCCCTGCTCTCCCCTCATGGCACCCGTCCCAAGACCCTCTCATCACCCCCCTTCCCAGAGATCCCCAGGAGAACACCAAGTCGGCCACCAAGGCGGAGAAGGCAGAGAAGAAGGAAGCGGAGGCCAAGAAAAAGGAGGCAGCCAAGATGGCAGGCTTTGTGAGGAAGCGCAAGCAAAAAATTGGCAAGCACGATGCCAAAGGCACTGCGAAGGTCCTGCGGTCCATCGTGGCGAGGCAGATGCGGCGCGAGAAGAAGCACAAGGATGCGGCGGCGAAGAGAGAATCGGTCACCGCGGCAACTGGAGGCGGCAAGACTGGCAAGGTTACGTTCCTGGGCTTCTTGGAAGAGACAGAAAGGTACATCGCAGCGGCAGTCGACGACAAGAGCACCGACGAGTTGCTTGGGTTGAGAATGGCCAGCTTGTACGCGAACTTCGCAGGCAAGGTCGACTTGTGCATCGGCGGCGAGACGAAGACCTTCGGGGGGGGGAGTGACACAGGGAGAGTCTGGCAGTCTGCGATCTCTCGGGCCCCGGGAGCAGGGGAGGGGGCTCTCGGGGGGGCTCTTGAACAGAGAGGGGGGCATTCGACATCTGTGCGAGTAAGCGGTGGCCCTCGATGCACAGTGCGCAGCAGCGTAGCTCGGGCCAGGGCCACTCAGAGGGCAACGATCTCGGAAAGGGAGGTTGGGAGCATGGGGCGCAAAATGGGTTTGGGAGGGGAGGGCAATTACTGGGTGGGGCCAGCTGAGACAGATCTTCAAGCGGGAGATCTATCGGCGCTGCTCCCTCAAGCCGCGGGTCAGCGACCCGGACTTCGACTCTCTCAAGGCCACGGTGTTGTCCCATGACGAGGTCAAGAAGGCTCGACTCATGTTTTATGTTCGCTCCCTGGTTCCCTGGTCTTGCCCACAGCGTGATCCACCCTGCATTGCGAGCGCCAGATCCTGGAGATGCCTCATCGTGCCCATTCCCACTCTCCCCGCTCGCGCTGACCCTTGCGCCCAGACATATTGCGCTCGCTTGCATTGCAACATGCGCTGTTGTTTCTCTCTTCTGTGATGTTCCACGTGCTTCGGTTTCTCACGTGCGCTCCCCCTCCCTTGTCCTGGCCCCTGTGCGAGCACTGGCGGGCCCAGCCTTGCTCCCGCCCTCTCCCGGGAGCGCGACCTCTTCCCCCCCCCCCCCCGCCCGCTTGCCCCCCTCGGCCATCAGGCCATCGAGGGCGCCGACTCCCATGAGGCCATCGAGCTGGACAAGCCATCAGAGGAAGCCCTGTCCGAGAGGGGGCGGTGGCCTGGCGACCGTTGCAGTCGACTTCGCGAAGTTCCTGAAGCAGAGTGAGGTCCTCGTCAAGGCGCCGATGCAAATCCCCTTCGCCGCAGAGCTCGCCAACGCGACGATGCTGGCGGTGCTCGCCGACATCGGCGCCAAGGGCGGGTCGCTTGCCACGCAGAACGAAGCCGCGGGCTGCCTTAGTACGAAGGCGCGCCCTGTAACACCGCATTCTATAATTGTGCGCAGAGCCGCGTGTATGTCATAGTTGCGCATGTGCATGGCATGCGCATGCCATCGGGTACCAGGGCCATCGAACTTGAGCATGCGCTGTGAGAGGGTTCCTGAGTTGAGTGACCCCCGTGGGCTTCCCGCTGTCTCCATGGGGCCATGTTGGGGCGGGGGAAGGGGGACCTTGTGACTCCGATGTGGCACGGACACCGCTCTTATTGCTATTGTTGATGTTTTCGTGCTACGTTGCTGTGCGCCGCCTGGCAGGCTGCTGAGACAGCGGCAAAGCGCCTGCCAGTTTGCTGGGACGACGTGACGCAGTTGCTCGCAGAGGTGAGGAAATACAACATGACAGCGCTCTTCAATACCAGGCCAGGTTTCGCGGGGCTCCTGGAGTTGAACGCGACGACGAATACCCTTCTTAACACACGGGCTTCCCTGTCTTTCTACGTCCTCCACGGTCTGGGCACGCAATGCTTCAACATGAGGAACGGGCCTGTGACAGAGGCCAAGCAATACTTACAGCCGCTGCAGACCAAACTCCTGGAAGCGGAGCTCGAGCGTCACAACCCTGAGAACGCAGTCAAGCCGACCATCATGATGTCGATCGCCCAGCACCTTCATACGTTCGATTGGATCAAGGTCAGCTGGGGCCCCGGGCGTGAGCAGCTTGCGTGATGCGTCTGTGGTGTGGGCAGGGTTGGAAGCGTTGGCAGAGGTAGAGGCCTCCTTAATGATCAGGTCTTCGGGTGAGGAGGTCAGTGCGTCTCAACACTCGTGCAATCGCGCGCGTGTGTGTGTGTGTGTGTGTGTGTGTGTGTGTGTGCGTCTGCTTTGCCTCGAGTGCTCCAGTGTGCGCGCACTGCGGTCGCGCGCGTAGCGTTTGTGGGTGTGTTTGCGCATCGTTGCCCAGCTTTGTAGTCTTTGCACGTAGTGGGCGGGGGTCGGCGGCCAGGCGTTCGATTTCTGGTTCTGGGAGATGGTGGGCTTCACGAACTGGGCGACCCACCAAGATCCCCAGGGGCACGCCAATCGCACGGACTCCCTGACAGCCGCGCTCAACATCCTGATGCCCAACGCCATCAAGGAGCACGTTAGTAGCCAGGGTTACCTGACGGCTGACAGCATAAACAAGGTATCATGGGAGGTCTGCAACTCGGCGGTCCTGATGCCCGCCGAGAGGCAGAGGTTGCGGGCGGACATCCTTCATCACTTCACTCAGGACATCCTCTTGCTTACATCGCTCCAGCGCCCGCTTCGTTTCCCCACCTCCCAGGCCCCCCCCCCCCCCTCTCCTCCTCAGCGCCCGCTTCGCACCTTTCCACCCCGCCATTCCTGGATCCGCATCTTGAGGTGTCGTTGCGACGCTGCCGCGTCATCCGCCATCTCTCGATGTTTATTGCTGTGAGGCCCTGGGCCGTGCGTAGTGCTCATCCTCCATAGCGTATACGGCGGTGCAGTTATCTTCTTGCGCCTATTCAATGCTTTTCATTCCCTTCGCCCAGCTCTGCTGCTGCGGCACTCATGTCGCCTTGGCATCGCTCCCTAGCCCTAGCTCCTCCTCCCTCCTTCCTCTCATCCTCCTTTTCCTTCGCCTCCTCCTCCCATCCCGTCTTCATCGCAACCTTCTTGTGAGAGACCCTCGGGCACGCCCCCCACCCCCCCCCGCCCGCCTCGCCGCCCTTGCCAGGAGAACGAGAGCGCCGCCGCGGCCCACCTTGCCACGCAGGATATGCCCAGGTCGTTCGCGCCCCACCTCGACCGCGCCCTGAACCCCCCGCCGCCGCCAGAGGTAAGAGTGGAGCGTGCTCCTGAGGAAGCTGCGGAGTGGATAGCAGCGACTGGCGCCGCAGCGGGCGACAGGCAACGTCTCTTCTGTCTCGCGCGGGGGGGGGGCTAATAGTTCATGCGCCCTCTGGGGCGAGGGGGCGCGCGAGGGGCGCAGGGGTGCCGGGGGGCTTTCCCCCCCCCGCGCTCCCGGGAGCAAGATCGAGGATAGGGTAGCACTGCGAGGTCTGCCCTGATCTCGGCGCAGTGGGGTGGTGGATTCGATGGGGAATTTGGGGGTGGAGGGGGGGGGGGCTGCGTTGCAGGCCGAGGGTGGAAAAAAGGTGGGTGGGGGGAGAGAGAGTAGAGAGAGATAGGAGAGAGAAGAGAGAGAGAGAGTAGAGAGAAGAGAGAGAGAGAAGAGAGAGAGAGAGAGAGAAGAGAGCAATCGATAGAGAGAGGGAGAGTGGGGAGAGAGAGAAGAGAAGAGGGGGGGGAGAAGGGAGAGAGAGAGAAGAGGAGAGAGAGAAGAAAGAGGGCAGGAGGAGAGAGGAGAGAGAGAAGAGAAGAGAGAGAGAGAGAGAGAGAAAGAGAGGGGGGGAGAGAGGAGAGAGACAGAGAGAGAGAGAGGGCGAGGGAGAGAAAGAGAGGGAGAGAGATGGGCCACGGGGAGCAGAGAGAGAGAGAGAGAGGGAGGTAGAGCGAGGGAGTGAGTGACCGAGAAGGGAGAGAGAGAGAGAGAGAGAGAGAGAGAGAGAGAGAGAGAGAGAGAGAGAGAGAGAGAGAGAAAGAGAGACAGAGAGAGAGAGAGGCTCGCGCGCCCCTACAACAGCAGAGATAACATACAAAGCGTGAGGAGGGGGGCGGTGCGACACAGCGGCAGCGGCAACGCGAAGTAAATAACCCTCACGCCGCTTTCTGGCTGTGCTTCCAGTCGCGCCGCGCCCTCGTCGCAGCGCCCTCCTCGCCTCTTCCCAGCCCCGACTTCTGCCGCCCTCTTGTCTTGTCTCCAACGTCGCCTGCTCGCCCTCTCTGCTCCCTCTCCCCCCACCTCCTGGCCTCTCCCTCCTCGCGCCACCCTCGCCCCCGCAGGCAGCGTGGGCGGCGGCGATCAGGCCCAGCGAGCCGACAGACACAAGAGGGACATGGAGGTGAAGACGAACAAGACTGCGCTGGCCACTTGGTGGACTCAGATCGTCACCCAGGAGAAGGACCCGTGTCTACCGAACCGTAGGTTTATTTGGCACGCACTCACTTGGGGCCTGCTTGAATGGGGGAGGGGGCAGGCAAGTCGAACGAGCATCGCAGTCGTTTGCCCCCCCCTTCTCCCCCAGGAGGAAGAGGGCGCTGATGGCGCGGAGATTCATTTCTTCAAGAAGGCTGTGCTGGCCTCGGTTCAGAGCGAAGTCATGACGTTTGCTGCTAGCCCCAACAACATTCCTAACCTCCTCCAGTGCCTTCAAGATGACCCGCTGTGGACTATGGACGACTCTGATTTGAACGGTCTGTTTGATGAGCAGGAGGGCAATGGCACGTCCGATAAGGAGAAAGTCGTCGCCGCCATGGACGTTGCCGAGCCGGCGTTGCCATCGCCAGGGAAAAATTGCAATTTGTTTTTGCGCAAGAACAAGCTGCCATCTGACACCAAGGATAAAGCCGACGAGCTGCTTGACGAGGAATCCAGGGCCCTAAAAGCGTCGGGGGGCAGGGGGCGGCAGGGGGCCCCTGCAACCATGCCCCATGCGCGGGGTGGGCGGGTGGGTGGCGGGGCAGGGGCGACCAGAGACATCGATGACACGAACATGCAACATAGCATGGGGTGCTGCGTTCATCCCCGTTCAAGGTTCTTGCACATCTCATTTCGATTGTCGCACTCTTGCTTGCTGCTGAGCAGGACCCGACGGAGTACGGCAAGAAGATTACATGGTTCATTGCGCAACGTGGCGATGGACATGGCCCCGCGGGCACCAGCTACATGCCGCCGTGGGGCAAGGTCGTGGACATGCAGACGGCCCAGTACCTGCCCAAAGGACGGAATGTGGCTTCTCATGCACCTCGCCCTCCTGTCATGCGTCGGCCCTGCGCGAGAGGCTCTCGGGCAAGGCCCCTCGCGCCGCTGGGCGCCCCGCCTCGGCTTCGCGTCCTGGGCGTTGTTTCGGCGCGGGTGGGCATGCGAGTCGATGTTATATCATTTGCCGCTGGCCCCTGCTTGGACCCCCCCCCCCCCCCCCCCGAGGCTTCGCGGCGCCCCTGCTTGGCGCGCTGCCGTGCGTTGTTCGGGAGTTAGCAGGCGCTTGCACTTAGGGGCTCAGGGCGCTTGCGTCAAAGTGATGGCCCCAGCGACAACGCTGGGCCTGAACCGCGACGACGTGCGAGAGCTCGACGCCGCCTACCAAGGCCCTGAGTGGAGCAAGGTGCGGGGGGAGCACGAGCAGCCCTGGGATCAGCCGAGGCCGCGCGCCCACTTGTGATGCATGTGCGTGTTCTTGCACCATGTTGAGTTGAGCATGACTGGCAGAGACCTTCTATGTTCGGCACGCGGCATGGGCGTGCTTATGCATGTATCGCGAGGTTGCCATAGTATTCATTCGTTATGACGCCCCCCATCTGCCGTCTACTTGGCCCTCCTACGTTTAACTCTGCTGCCGCCCCTCCTGGCCCCCACGCCCCCCCACCCCGCCTTCAGGCTCTACCTGGACGGCAACAACTTCACGAACCCGATGCGCGGCGACTTCGCCCCCGCCCGGTCGATCCAGCCTGCCCCGAAGCCGAAGGCCGTGGCGAAGAGGAAGGGCAAGAAGGCCTTGTGCCGCCCTCGCCCCGGGAGCCCGACGGAGTCTGAGGGCTTGGGCATCTCCCTCCTCCTCCTGATACTCCTTCATTTTCCCTGCTCCCCTCCCTGTCCGCCTCTTCCTGCTTCTCCCCGCTTCATCGCCTGCCTCATCCGACCCTTCCTAATCCTTTCTAGGATCTCTCTCTATCTCTCTCTCTCTCTCTCTTTTTTTCTCTCTCTCTCTCTCTCTCTCTCTCTCTCCCTGTTTTCCCTCTCTCTCTCTGTACCCTCTCTCTCTCTCTCTCTCCCTCACTCTCCCTCTCTCTCTCTCTCTCTCTCTCTCTTTCTCTCTCTCTCTCTCT